ATTTTTTTTTTTAAAGATTTTTGAGGGGGGGAGCAATTTTCGGTTCACAGCTAAATGAGAGGAAGGTACAGAGATTTCCCATATACTCTAGCTGCCCACATGCACAGCCTTCTCTGTTATTAGCATCTCTCAGCAGAGTGGCACATTTGTTATATTGGATGAGTCTCCACTGACACATCATAACCGCCTAAAACCCGTAGTTTGTTTACATTAGGGTTCACTCTTGGCAGTGTGCGTTCTGTGAGTTTGGGCAAATGTATAATGACCATATATCCATCATTCTGGTCTCAGAGCTAGTATTTTCACCACCCTAAAATTCCCCTGGGCTCTATTCTATTTCTCCCTACTCTCATCCCCTGGCAACTGCTACTCTTTGTATTGTCTCCATAGTTTTATCTTTTCCATAGTGTCATAGTTGGAATCAGACAACATGTAGCCTTTTCAGATTGACTTCTTTTACTTGGTAATACACATTTGAGTTTCCTTTATGTCTTTTCATGGTTTGATAGCTCATTTCTTAGCGCTGAATATTCCATTGCTTGGATGGACCACGGTTTATCCTTTTATCTAGTGAAGCACCTCTCAGTTGCTTCCAAGTTTTGGCAATTGTGAATAAGGCTCCTATACACATCTATGGGCACTTTTAATAGTTGGCTTCTTAGCATTGTATGGTAATGAGCTAGAATAGAAAATCCACAGGATTTAATAAAAATAAAGAGCAAAGGTAAATGAATGGTTTGAGGGTGAGCTTAGAGTCTGAACTGTGTGATATAGTGGAGGGAACACTAATTCAAACATCTAACTTCTTAATTATGCCACTACTTTGTAGAGCTATTTCCCTTTCAAACCATGAACAGACTTTATCCTTTAGTGGCACAGAGCCCAAATAGCAACCTGAAATCCTTTTTTTTTCTTTTCCCATAATTTTTTCATGCTTACTTATTTCCTGAGATGGTCTTCTCATTTAGGTATTTAGAAATTAGAGGAAAGATGGGTACTGTTTGATTGACTGCTGGAGGGCAATTGGGCCAATATCAAAGATTTTGACTGTAGAGTGTTAGAACAGTTTTTACTGTAAAGACAAGAAGGACAAATAAGGTACTAGTTAGGGGAACAGGAACCTTCAAATGAAGTCTTTTGAGTTTCTACAGCAAGAGCCAGAAGTTGCTCAGTGTCATAAAGTTTAGGCATTAAGTCTAACAACCGTGGAGGTGGGAATCTTGGCTAGGTGAGGTCCACTTCTCAGGAGAGGGAGGAAGACCATCTTTTTGTAGGAGCTAGTGTTTATGCTAGACATACTTCACGTTCAAGAGGAGGAACAGCATGCTGCTGTGAAATGATAAGCCGCTGAGGTTTGGCAGTGTGACCAGAAAGCTGGAAGGTGTGACTAGAAGCTGTGATCTAAGCTCCTAGCTGACAAAGTGAATATTGTCAGTAGGGGTTGAGGTAAGTTGTGTGGTTTCCCAAATGGAAAAAGGCTTTGCAGCCAAGCAGCCAGGAAGTAAGTAAACAAATGCTTTGTATATACGTATGTTTTATGTATTATGTGTGTTTTGAGCAAAAGTGAATTCAGAAGACCAAGGATATCCTCTCACTGGCTTCTCTCTAAAATGGAAAAATCTAGATTTTATAGTCAATTCCTCTTAACTCGAACCCCCTTGCTCATCAAGCACACATGTAGGCATCGTATCTCTTGTCTGTGCTGCAGTTAAGATAAGGGGCCAGACAGACGTGGTAGTCACAGAGTTTATGTAGAGAAGACAGACAGGTATGGAAGTGCAAAAAGGTAATCTGCAGCTGTCTAGGCTCCATCGTGAGAACTCTCCACCCTTTCATCAGCTATAAGGATGTAAATCAAAGCAGAATAAAGGCTCAGCATTACTAGTGTCTCCACAGGGACAGGAAAATATAAATAGCTAGATCTGAGGGCACAGAATGGTTTTTCTAGGGCGGTAGTAGGATGCCGCCCATGTTTTTCCAGTACTAATGTGCCCGTCTGCCCCTTCCCACCTCCTTTCTTCCGAGCGTCTACACTCCAAACCTCACATGTTAGGACAGAGAAACTAGCTCAGCCTGTCAGGACTTCTGGATCGCAGTCCTGGCTTTTCTGCTATTTATAGAACCTTGGGAGAGAGAGGGAAAAAATGACTATTTATTTTGAAGTCTGAGAAATCCTATCTGTAGTGCTAATCTCATTGAAGTCTTCCAAGTCTATCAAGTGAGTGATATTCTCATAGGACATGGGAGGAAACTGGCTTGAAGATCGCAAATGACTCGTTCACATTTTTGCAGCTAGAAAGGATTTGAACCTTGGACCTCAAATAATAATATTTAACATGTAATGAGTGCCTACTGCGTGTTTACCAGGTCTGGTTGGCACTTGATAGACCTGGTCTCACTTCACTCTCATAACAACCCGAGAAGGCAAATATTCTCGCTATCTTACTATGATGAACCCGACGTTTTATAGAAGGGTAGTTACTTGCCCCACATCTCACAGGGAAGCTAGTGCTGGTATTTCAAGCCACATCTGCCTGCTTCCAGAATTCATGCTTTGTAGCATGAGGTTTGTTGCAAATCCAAGCCCTTCTGAATCCATATTCTGTCAGTGCTTTATATTCAGTCAGGCCTGATTTTAAACATGGGTCAAGACTTAGCAAGAACGTGGGTGGCGGCAAGTCAATTAACTTCTTAACGTTAGTTTCTTCATTTGTAAAATGGGGACAGTAATAAACAGCTCTCAGCATTGGAAGGTTTTGATATGGTTGGATGTACAGTGGGTCCTCCAATAAATGATAGTGTCTCTCTCTGCCACTTTTTTTTTTTTATTTTTTTTTTCAACGTTTTTAATTTTATTTTTGGGACAGAGAGAGACAGAGCATGAACGGGGGAGGGGCAGAGAGAGAGGGAGACACAGAATCGGAAACAGGCTCCAGGCTCCGAGCCATCAGCCCAGAGCCTGACGCGGGGCTCGAACTCACGGACCGCGAGATCGTGACCTGGCTGAAGTCGGACGCTGAACCGACTGCGCCACCCAGGCGCCCCTCTCTGCCACTTTTTTGATCACCATGAATACTTCTCCCACCCCTGCTCCCAATGTTCTCTCAGCAGAACTGGTTTTATTTATTTATTTATTTATTTATTTACTTATTTATTTTTGGCGCTAGGATAGAAGGCTAAGATCTTTCTCTGTTTGGAGATGAACAAAGTCGAACCAGGAGTGGGGTAAAGACAAGAAAATGCCCAGCAGCATGTATTCTTGAAGTGTCCAGAACCTACCCATGCAACTTTGCTTTGTCTTATTGAATTAAATTAGTCTCTGGGAGGTATTTCAGCTGAGTGCCTGCACATGATGACAAGTGGTGATTCAGAGATTCAGGACCGCTTTGGGGACAGCCAGGGACCAAACACTGGCAACATAACCTAGACATGGTGGTCCTAGCGGTGAGAACAGTCAGTAGCTGTGTTTGTAAAGTGGCATGGAAGTGAGGTGGGCAGCATGAGCAAACTGAAGAATGAGAAATCCTTCTAAAGGACAATGCTTTGGTTGTGGCTCGACGTGGTAAGGGAAAAAAAGAATAAGCAAGGAATTTGGTCAGAGTCGGGTGAAATAAGGTTGAGTTGTCTCTGCATAACCAATTTCTGTTTCTCATCCCACCTCACTCCTCTCTGCCACACCCCACGTTAACCATAATCATGTGATGTGAAGGGCAACGTCAGTTGGTTTCATAGATCTGTATGTCAGAAGACTGACAAGGACTGTATTACATGACAATGAACTTCAGGGAGATTTGGGTATATTCTGGTAAGGTCTGACTCATAGAAACAGTTGCAGAGATGAATTTCCTTTAGCTGGAAGGTTGAAGATCTTCACGAAGTAAGGTTCACGCACAAAACTCGAAGGGAGGAATACTTCAATAGTATCTCTTCTTAAAAGATCAAACGTGAGCATTTTCTCACACACCTAGTGATGTACAAATGGGAGCAACTTCACTGGAAGGCATTTGGCAATATGTATCAAAGTTCTTTAACGTATCGATCCCATAATTTTATGTTTAAAAATTTTTTCTAAGACAGTATTCAAAAATAAGGCCAAATATTTTTTATGTTAGCAAAAAACATGGAAACCACCCAGATGCCCAACCGTAGGGGATTGCCTGAATAAATTGTGATATAATCTGTCTGGGTAATGACTATATATGGTTTTTAAAATCACATTGTAGATGAATATTTTTTATTTATTTATTTTTTTTTTAATTTTTTTTTTTCAACGTTTATTTATTTTTGGGACAGAGAGAGACAGAGCATGAATGGCGGAGGGGCAGAGAGGGAGGGAGACACAGAATCAGAAACAGGCTCCAGGCTCTGAGCCATCAGCCCAGAGCCCGACGCGGGGCTCGAACTCACGGACCGCGAGATCGTGACCTGGCTGAAGTCGGACGCTGAACCGACTGCGCCACCCAGGCGCCCCTAGATGAATATTTTTTAAATGAGGAAACATTTATTAGGAAATAATCAAAAACATCATGTATGGAACGATTCCAACTTTGATAATAAACCCAGTGTGTGGATAGAAAAACTAGAAGAATATACGTCAAAATTTTTGTAGTGGAATTATGGACATGTAAAAACAATTTCTAAAATACATTTATCTGTAGTACACATAAATGGAAAAAAGAAATAATACATTTTTTTCAAATAGCAACATGGAAGACAAAGTTTCTAACAGGCTATTTAAGAGTTAAAGAATTTAGTTACTTAGAATTTAGAACAAAACTGTGTTCATTTATATGTTCAGTCCTCAAATAATTGATTTTGACTGTTATTTTGCAAAGAGTTCGAAGTGGTTGGTTAGTTGAAATGGAGGAAGATATACCTCAACATCAGCCTTTTGATATAATTTCCTTTCACCACTTTGGTCAAGAGGAGGGGCACTAATTTTTGTAGTGTGAGCACCATTCAGAGACAATTCATTTCTGCCTTCTGTCTTATAGTCCTGACGCACACAAGGGATCCAGGATTGGAAAGGCCAGCTTCTTCCACCGCATTTCTGGATCAGTGTTCTCCACCTGCATCACTGCCTGACATAGACACAGGTAACATTTGCTTTTGCTTTCTCATATCTTTGTTATCTGGTATCCTACTAGTCCCACTTATAAAGAAAAAATTCTCAGGAAAAAAGATGCTGGGAATATGGCATTTTATTACAAGTGGCTTGGCATGGATACGGGATTGCTAGAAAAGAATTTTCTAATAATCACATCAGAACTGCATGAACTCTAAAGGATGTGAAAACTACTGCTGCATTCATGGGAAGCTACTTTCTTTTTCTCAATATGCTGCGTGTTTTGCTTTATGCTGAGTTACTTACATACTATCCATCTTAAAGGACTGAATAAGTGAAAACACTCCTGTTCCTTAGGAAATTAGGGAAAATGTGAAGAAGTTAGAAAATTTTAGAAATTAATTAAAAAATTGGAAAAAGATATAGTTACATGTGCAATTTGTTTTCCACGTTTTCTGCTCCTTAGATATCATCTCTTCACACTGATTAATATAAGAACCAAGGTAAATTTTAGACGTTTACTATTTAATAATTTCTTGTTATATTGATATTAATATAGATGAAATCCTTTATGGATATTAACTAATGACTGCCTATTGACAAATTTTATTTTCACAGAGGCTTCTGTGGCAACATCATACACTAGAAAATTATTTCTAAAATTCAAATACACATGGAATCATTTGGGATTAAAAATACAGGAGTCTTGGCTCCAACTAAGAGATTTTTTTAATCGTTATTTTTTAATTAATTTATTTTTGTTTTGAGAGAGAGAGCACGTGCAAGTGGGGGAGTGGGGCAGAGAGAGAGAGAGAGAGAGAGGGAGAGAATCTTAAGTAGGCTCGATGCTCAAAACAGAGCCCGACATGGGGCTACCCGGGATTATGACCTGAGCCCAAATCAAGAATCGAATGCTCAACCAACTGAGCCACCCAGGCACCCCTAAGATATTTTTATTCCACACACCTTGCATGGGGCACTGGAATCAGATTGTTGAGCAATCTGTGATGTTAACTTTTAATAATTCTTTTGCAGATGGTTTATTGGATGTATTTTGGGAAACACTCTAGTAGAGTCATGTCATAACTGAAAAGAATGCAAGAACTTTGTAATATTTATATATAGATCTGAATGTGTATATTAAGGCTTTTTAAGGCAAGATACTTATATTTTTTCAGAACTTCAGAAACAGAATTTTTGTTTTTTGAATTGATAGTTTTAAAACGGTCTCAGTAATTTACAATGATGCCTCAAATTTGCCCAACATTTGTATATGTACATTGAACATTTGGAGTTAAATTGGCTGGGTGAATATGACTCAGCCTATTCAGTGTATTGGTAGATTAAAAAAAAAACACCTTTCTGTATTTCTAATCATAATGGCAATAATCACTAGAAGTATAAATGAGTTTAACAGAAATATTGAAAGGTTTTCGCTTTCCTATATATATCAGGCTCAGTCCACATGCTTTGTGCACTTGAAGGAGTTAAACACACCTCCCCTTACACATACAGATACACACACACACCTCTAGGTATGTATCTTGTATATTTCTATAGACTGACACTGTAATTTTTCTTTTGAAAGAAATCATCCTGTTGTGAGGTTTTAATGCAAAACACGTTTCCCTTCTTCCTGTAGAGATGAGCGATCAGAAAGTGATTTATTCCACCCTGAGATTTCTTCAGTCTCCTTCAGAGTCACAAAATAGAATAAGGCCAGGTAGGACTCAAAGGCCTGGGAAAACTGATGACAAAGGTATGTATCTTAAGCATCTCTTTCAAACTTTGACGTTTGAAAAAAAGTTCCTGTCTGTCCTTCAGGTTCTCAAATGGTGATAGGAAACGATAATGGCGTAGGTAGCAGAGCAAGCCTTTTTTTTTTTTTTTTTTTTTTTTTTTTTTTTAAGTTTGTGAGAATGGAGAAATTGATGAATTCTTTTAGATTCATAAAGCCAATAAAATGTTTTTATTCAAATTTCTGATCAAGAGGAATTTTTGAGGCCATTAAAAGTGAAGGACAGATTACAGTCTCAAGAAAACACTACATTTCCTAGAGAAATAAAGGTCTTAGAGACTGCTTGAAAAATGACAATATTTGTTAGAAACAATGTTTTTATTCAGATAGAAGGTGTTTTAGGTGTCTTAAATATTTACCAAACCTTAACGGCAATGAAGAAACAGAAGGAGCATTCATTTTTTTTTCTGTTCTCTTTTCTGTTCTGCCTTCAAATATTGTCACGAGCTCTAAAGTGAGAATGACTTTTACTGTTTTAATTTAGTGACAGAGATACAGTTTTCAGATCAAGGACCTCAAAAATAGGAGGCAAAATATAATATTGTCTAGGGAAAAATAGAATTGATGAAAAAGGAAATTCGATTTCTAGAAATTAAAAAAAATTTTTTTAAATGTTTATTTATTTTTGAGAGAGAGAGACGGACAGAATGCGAGCAGAAGAGGGGTAGAGAGAGGGACACACAGAATCTGAAGCAGGCTCCAGGCCCTGAGCTGTCAGCACAGAGCCCGATGCGGGGCTGGAACTCACAAACTGTGAGATCATGACCTGAGCTGAAGTCGGATGCTCAACCAACTGAGCCACCCAGGCGCCCCTATTTCTAGAAACTCGTTTAAGGATAGATCCCAATCACATTTCCAGCTTCAGAATATCCACTGTTGGCTACCAATTCCTCAAGAATATTGACTGCTTTTTTGTTCCTCTTCATGATTAGTTGTGATCACAGGAAAGAGTATACAATGTCCGTGTGGATTCTTATAAATGTGTATTATGTCTATTGCCTTCTGTGCTTCTTTTTGAAAACTTGGTTAGATTTTTTTAAATTGAAGGATAGTTGACATGCAATGTACCTTAGTTTCAAGTGCACAGCATATTCATTGGACAGTTCTCTATTTAGTAAGGGAAGTACTTTTAAAATCCTATTGGACTGTTCTTATGTGTAGTATTTCTACAGTGGGTGTATATCAGTCAGAAGTCTGAGACCTTATTTTTACTTTTCATAAAAGGGGAGAGGGGCAGAGAGAGAAAGAGAGAGAATCTCAAGCAGGCTCCTTGCTGAGCCTGACACAGGGCTGGATTCCATGACACTGGGATCATGACCTGAGCCAAAATCAAGAATCAGATGCTCAACCGACTGAGCCACCCAGGCGCCCCAGAAATCTGAGACTTTAAAACTGTAATTATTAGGTTATGAATTTAAATCAATTGGTATGATATATTTTTGTAAAAATTTTAGGGAAGATTGTCTCTTTGTTTCAAATGGTGTCCCAGGCTAAGGTTAGTAGGGGCCATGCTCTGCCCCTGATAATTATCTTTCTTTTTATTTAAAGAGTTTTCAGTGCCATGGCATCTCATTGCAGTGATTCTTGGGATCCTCTGTTTACTACTATCGGTGACAGTTGCAGTGTTGGGGACAAAGAGTGAGTAACTGAAATATATCCTTCAAGCCTGAGTAATAGCAGGGAATGCTAATTGTGCAAATATTAATTGTGCTCCATTAATTGTTCCCCGACTCCCATCAGGGAATGTCCCAGGTGGCTCTTTCTGGGTGATTTTTTCCATAGACATGTCACAGTGCTATTTTCATGTTACTTACCTATTCCAGTGACTCTGTGGTTCAGTGAGTTGTCTTACTGTGTATAGTACATGATAACATTCCTCCAGTTACAGGACTTAGTCATATTCTGACTTCTGAGTTTAGATCACTGTGATTCTTAAACATTCTTCAAGAAATAGCTGTTCAGAAGAAATTATGACTTTCTTGTGATTTTTTTTAAGTATTTAATGAAGATATCGTTTAGTGGAAAGAGTGATTCTGTACATGGACATTAGATGATCTTGAATACAACTTTTTAAATGTTTTTTTTAGTTTATTTATTTATTTTGAGAGAGACAGAGACAGCGTGAGTGGGGGAGGGGCAGGGAGAGAGGGAGAGAGTGAATCCCAAGCAGACTCCGAGCTGCCAATGCAGAGCCCCACATGGGTCTTGAACCCAGGAAACTGCAAGATCATGACCTGAGGCCAAAACAAAGAGTCAGATGCTTAACTAGTTGAGCCACCCAGGTGCCCCTTAAATTCAACTGTTATCTTTCATTTGAATTTCTTGACATTTCTCGAGGAAATTACTAATATGTTACACTCAGATAAATGTACATATTTAAATCTTTCTCTCTTTTCTTCTGTGGATATTCTATCTCCTCCAATAACAATGATGCTATTTCCTTATGTGTCTCAGCACAGTTTTTCATGCTCAGATGTGTTGTTAAAAGTTGATTGACTGATTTTTACTTTGGTACCTATTTATAAATGATGCACTAACTTTTTAAAAGAAACAAAACCGAATTATAAGGTGTTACCATCATAATTTTATTTATTTATTCTACACTCAGGTTACTAACAGTGTGAAATTTGGTGGTTCCATTTCTATGGTTAGTTTATTGAGGTGTTACTTTCTAAATGTCAAATTACTCATTTAAAGTAATGAAATGGGTTGGTTATCAAAGTGAGACTTTCCTTTGTCTTACATTTTAACAGTTAAGCTGTATGAGTACTTTTATATTATATCTATGCTATTAATTTTAGTTTTTCAGTATATTCAAGAAAACCATCAGCAGAGGGAAAATATAAGAAATTTGAGTCAAGAGTACCAAATTGTGCAAAATGACAGCTACTTCAAGGAGCAACTTTTGACAAATAAGATTTTGGAATGTAACAGTCGTGAAAATGAAAGTCTTCAGCAGAAAATGAAGCAGGATTTTATAGAAAGGACATGCCAGAGAAAAAATATAGGTATGGAGGGAAGGGAAGATTGCATGATTTTCTTTTATTTCTTCCCCTCCCAGAAGGTTTGAGGCTAAATAGACAGGTTTACGATCTATGCTAGTGATCTAGGTTTACCAGGCAACTTTTTATTTCTACTTCTGAGGTAATATGAGTGTTCGGGTTTGCCTGTATCAAATATGAGACTGAGACTCCAGGAGCCATTTGGATTAGTAGGGCTCTATATTTCCCCCAAACTCAATGACAAGCCCTGCATTTCTACTGCTCCCAGAAGGTGAAATCGTGTGTCAGCTTCCCTGAAAACTTGGATCATTTTGGACCTGTGGGCAAATTAGGCACTCCGCTTTGTTGCTGACATGAAATGTGGAGGCTATAAGTAAAGATGTACTTCGGCTAAAATGGGCACAATGCCTTTCATTCGGATGCTCTTGGAAAGATGATTGTGTGCGCGTGTTCCCATTCTGCCTTGAGTTGAGATATTTGGCCTGTATGCTCTCTGCAGTGCTCCTGCAAGTTTTGCCTAAGTGTTGATGTTTGTGCGACTCGGTGTGATAATACCATTAAAAACATCCAAGAGATAAGAATATTAAATCTCACATAATAAACTCTGTTATCATGTATAATGGTGGAATGAACTGACCTGGTTAATTAACAACTATTAAATATTTGTTTAGGATTTGGAGTTTACAAAGATTTTGCATATTTAATATCATTTCAGTATGGTAGTTGTAGGAGTTTATCTTCTCTGTTATTAAAGAATCAATGCTATTTCAAAAATTTGATACATTATAAAATATATGAGGAAAAGAAAAAAATCCCAAAGAATGTTTCTTTTATTTAGAAGACATTCCAGAATCTTTTTTTTTTTAATTTTATTATTATTATTTTTTAATGTTTATTTGTTTTTGAGACAGAGGGAGACAGAGCGCGAGTGGGGGAGGGGCAGAGGGAGAGGGAGACACAGATTCTGAAACAGGCTCCGGGCTCTGAGCTGTCAGCACAGAGCCAGATGCGGGGCTCGAACCCATGAACCGTGAGATCATGACCTGAGCTGAAGTCGGATGCTTAACTGACTGAGCCACCCAGGCGCCCCCAGAATCTGTTTAAAAACTTACTTTGATTGTTTTAAAAACAGCTTTCTTGAGGTATTATTAACATGCAAAAGTTGCACATATTTACTGTATATCATTTGACAGGTTTGGACATATGCATATATCTGTAAAATCATCCATAATCAGGGTGATAGACATATCCATTACCTCCAAAAGTTTTCTCATGTCTCTCTTTTTGGGAGTGGGTAAGAACACACAAGATTCACCCTTTTAACAAGTTTTTCAGTGCACACTTCAGTATTGTTAACCAAAGGCATTTTGTTGTACCACAGATCTTTAGAACTTAATCATCTTGCACAACTGAAACTGTATACCCACTGAACAAAAAACTCCTTACTTCCCCCTCCTGTAGCCACTGGCAACCACCTTCCACTTTCTGTTTCTCTGAATTTGACTATTTTTTGTATCTCATGTAAGTGGAATCACGGAGTATTTGTACTTCTGTGATTGGCTTATTTCATTGAGCATAATATCCTCAGGGTTAATCCATGCTGTTGCCTATGCAGGATTTCCTTTTTCTAAAGGCTGAAGAGTATTCGATTGATTGTATATATCACATTTTCTTTATCCATTCATCCATTGAGGGACACTCGAGGTTGTTTTCTTATCTTGGCTGTCGTGAAGAGTGCTGCCAGGAATATGAGAGCTATCTCTTTGCATTCCAGAATCTTGATGAACGTAATATTGTCATTATTGATGATACTAAGATTTTACTTAGTTATGGAGGGCTGATAAATATATGGCTCTGCTTAATGGAATAGCAGGTCATGTTTCACCTTATATGTTGCAGGCAAACTCTACGAAAGCCACTGGTCCTGTTGTGGAATAAAGTGTTACTATTTTATTCCTGAATATAAAAACTGGAAGGGATGTAAACAGACATGCCAAAGCTATAATTCATTTCTTCTGAAGATAAATGATCAAGATGAACTGGTAACATGGACTGTTACATTCACTTTTATTTTCTTGCACCAGGTCTCTTACCCCTGGACCCAAGATAATGAGGATGTGGCAATCCAGACAGAGGGACCTTCAGTTATCCTCTGGGTTGTATCTGTTGAGTGAGCACAAGTTGTGTAGTTAAGAAAGTTAAGGGTTCTGGAAAACCCTGCCTACTGATGGGCATATATGATGCTGCCACTTACTAAGCATTCCTATATTATCTATTCATGATGACCATTAATATTTCTAAAATGGAAAACCCCCTTGAAGATTCACTTTGGGGTTTTGCATTCATTTCCTTTTTTTTTTTTTTTTTTTAATTTTTTTTTTCAACGTTTATTTATTTTTGGGACAGAGAGAGACAGAGCATGAACAGGGGAGGGGCAGAGAGAGAGGGAGACACAGAATCGGAAACAGGCTCCAGGCTCTGAGCCATCAGCCCAGAGCCTGACGCGGGGCTCGAACTCACGAACCGCGAGATCGTGACCTGGCTGAAGTCGGACGCTTAACCGACTGCGCCACCCAGGCGCCCCTCAATTCCTTTTCTAAGGCATCTTCAGAACAGCTCCCTGAAAAGCATGGCTCTCCTTCAATGGCGCTCTTAACCCTTTGGTATTTGCAGCCTGGAAGCAGTGGTTATTTATCCTTCTAAGGTGGCAACTAAGTACCTGGAGGCAATCTGATCCAGTAGGTACTATCAGGAATCCAGGAGCCAGACTGCCTGGTATCAGGCAAAATCCAGTTCTGCCACTTTCTAACTAAGTGACCTTGGGTGAATTACTTAGCGTCTGGGTCTCAGTTTTTCCAGCTGCAAAATGGAGATAATAATGAGTAACGTAAAAGTGATAACAGTTTTACGAATTAGCGTAATGGTGATTTTCATTGCATCTGTACATAACATTTATTTGATCAATATTCTAATATATCGTATCGATGTATATATTTTTAAAATGAATTGTAAAAAGAGAAAATAAAGTGACAATATCAAAATTATCTTTTTTTTTTATTTTTTTTTTCAACGTTTTATTTATTTTTGGGACAGAGAGAGACAGAGCATGAACGGGGGAGGGGCAGAGAGAGAGGGAGACACAGAATCGGAAACAGGCTCCAGGCTCTGAGCCATCAGCCCAGAGCCCGACGCGGGGCTCGAACTCACGGACCGCGAGATCGTGACCTGGCTGAAGTCGGACGCTTAACCGACTGCGCCACCCAGGCGCCCCCAAAATTATCTTTTAAATTAATTACCAATAAAAACTATCCACACACGCAGAATGTTTTTTACTGAGAAATGTTTGCAAAGATCAGTCTGAAACGTCTACTTATCACTTAGGGAAACAACACAAAATTTATATGCAAATCTACTAGATGTTTTAAATCACAACATAAAAAAAATTTACGATATGAAGTCATAAAATTATTTTTGTTTGTTGCAGTAAAACCCACTTAAATTTAAACCTATATTTTAAAATACACTCACACATTTGATCAGACATTATATGCCACTTTGATATATTACATTTTTTGACATAGCAAATATTTCCAAATATTACCCCTTTTCCCTTCACCCTTTCTAACTACTAAACTATAGCAAGCCTTTCTCAGCTCTGATGCACAACTTCTTATATATACTTCTTATTTTAATAAATTTGTTTTGAAAATTCCTTTCTTCATCTAAGAATATGTAATGATCACTGTCAGTATCCTTAAATATTTTTCTGGAGCATGATTTTGAGTAGTTTCATAGTGTCATAAATTATTTAACAAGTCTATTGTTAGATACTTAAACTTACATTTTTTTCGTGTTTTAAATAATTCATGAGACTTGGCAGCCATTTTTGTTTTTTATTCTATTAAAAAAAATTTTTTTAAAGGAGTGCTCCGTTTTTTTTTTT